GAGATTCACAGCTGTATCTACAACAGAGTGATGGATCTCATCAAGCAAGCCTCCGGTCGGGTTTTGCGCTGATTCTGGCCACAGTTTTTTTTTTCAGCTGGCATTCAAAGTTTCAGTTTCCATCTCCTGAATGGATATCTGTATTAAATACCGTAACTTTATTGGCACTCAGGTAGAGAAGAAGCGAGGAAACTGTTTTTACCAATCATACGGTCAATCAGGATGCAGAACACTGTGAAAAAAAAAAAAAAAAACTGCACAAAAAAATCTGTAAAGCAGCGATACCGTGAAAGATGAACCGCATTATAGCGTGGGATCACTATATATGAAATCATTTTGAAAAACCAACAGAGCGACTGTATGTTTTCTACGCTCCTTCACCCTTATGTACCTTCCTTTGGGGGGATTTATATTTTTGCATCCACCTGAATAATATGTAGTTGCGCCCCTGCAGATAGATCAAGTAGAAATTGACAAGAACTGGATGAAACAACAAAAATGAAAACAAATTTATTTTCCAATATAAGATCAAAATGGTCCCACACTGCGCACACCTTTCCTTTGAAGCTGCTCCATAGTTGACGATGTTCCGTAAAAGATCAATAATTCGTTGGGCAAATGCATTTGACTGATTGACAGATTCGCTTCCTTATAAACACAGTTTGACACGTTAATGTAATTACAAAACAGTTCCTGTATTGGTCATGTGACTTGTTGAAACCACTACGCGCACCGACACGGGTTTTGGTCTGTGGGCTTGACACATGCACCGATGCATTGGTGTTGCCGGACCCATCACTAACCCTAAGTTTATTCCACATGGCGTCGCTCTTGTTCTACGTTTCACATTAGTCTTTAGCCAGCTAACAAAGCATGGAGCACGTCTCAAAGCATGACGTCATTACACAACAGCGCAGCGGATGACTTGCAGCCCGGTAGCAGTTGCCTTTCTCTGCGTTTGATCGTGGCATTTGTTAATGGTAGAAAGTACCGGAATGGCAACTGGTACTGGACTGTTCCATCATCCGCCTCACTATTGTTACAAGCGTAGTGTGCATGAAGTCAGTGTAGCTTAGCCAGGCACCGAATGTCAGCCATAACGAAGAATAGCGGGCGGGACTTCCTTCAGAGGTCAGCTAACCCTGTGGGCCGCACTAATATTATACTTTCATACCACGGTGGGGGCCACAAGTCATTGTCCTGTGGGTCGCAAGAATGAGACCTCTGTTCTAGACCATAAAAACCCAATTCTCCTCACTGCCGGCAATTTAATGTTTATTTCTTGCAAATATAGATGCTCACATTAACTCTTTAAATTATTCTGCATCAGCAGCGTAAATAGATCAATTTGTCTGTTGTTGAGCTTTTTCAGCTAATCTGTGATGATAGCGTTTACTGACCATGCCCAATCTAAACTCAGTGTTCCACCTCGGATTACTGTGATCCAACATTTTGGTCCTGCGTTGTATGGAACCATAGTACATCTTGGCATAGCTGTGAACAAAAGAGGAGCCATATAAAAGGTGTGCTCATCAGGTTCCATAATGTCTTTGTTTTTTTTACCTTTGCTTCAACCCACCTGTCAGCTGGTCCAAGATCATCTCCGTATAGACTCCAGGCTCGAACAATGGTCACTGATAGAGTTCCCCTTGAGACGTGCAGAGGGCAGCAGTTAGAGGCCACATTAGGAGTCATGTCGTCACAGTGTGGTTCTTCGGGTAAGTTCCACAAAGCATTGTCCTCCAAATAATGTTCAATAGCAGCTTTCATCTCTTCCTGTTGTTGCTTGCTTGGAATGAGCTCATAGAGAGGTCGAAGGGAGTATGAAACAACATCTGGATGTTCTTTTAGGCTCTTTAGCCAGTTCATGAAGCCCATGGAATCATTTTCGAAAGTTAAAAACTCCCCCAACCAACTATTTCCTCCTGACACCTCTGTGAAGTGATGGTGGACTTCAGAGTAGTAGCCAGTGGCAAAGTCCTTGTTTTTTAGGACAACATTGCAAGAATGTGGGATACTAGAGAGTTTCATCTTCCCCAAGCCAACAGCAACACCCATAGATAAACAGTTATGGACCTGGGTGAAAGAACAGCACAGAGATTTTTTAAAAAGCTCTATTATACCAGACATTTACATAAACAGCCAGAGAAGAATATGTTCATGTAAAAATCCTCTGGAAATTAAAATGGACAAAACAAAACCATAACACTTAAAATTTCTTAAAGTAGGTTGTTGAAAGTGATGAACTTCATATCTGTGCTGCTTCATGTATTCGGTCATGATAAATTAGAATCATGGAAGTATCACATATGGTTGTGTAAAAATCTGTTGTTTTGTTACCTGACTTGAGGTTAACCCATTCATGGAGGACAAACAGCTTCGTGAAGATGTCACTCGTCTCAGTCGCCCTCCAAGATTAACCTAAAACAGGTTTAAATTTCTTTAAAATGCTTCCCTGCAGAAAAATGTCTGTAACTAATTGAGAATGTGTGCGTGTGAGTGTGTGTGTGCGTGTGTAGGTGTGTGTGTGAAAGTTCTCACCATTCTGACGTAGTGTGTGCCATAGGTCTGTATCAGCTTTCTATACTC